CTCGATCCCATCCCGGCTGCACTTGACCTACATATCCACCCAGTGCCCCCCTCCCAAGCGCAGTCGCCTTCAGGTGCGAAGGGCTCGCAAAGGAAGAGGGGGGAAAAGTGCTTCCCAAAAGCGGAAGAGGAAGGAGGGAAGGAGGGGAAAGGAAGGGGGGGGAGTTGATGCCACACGCCTCCCATCAAGCCTCCTCGACAACAATTACTAAAGTTTTTAATTAGCCTCTTGTTCTAATTCATTTTATTAATTTTCCAAATCTCAGGCCATGAATTATTCACGGCGGCTCCGTAATTGTGTTTGCAGCGCCCGGGCGCGGCCGCGCAGCTGGCACCGCTCCCGCCGACCCCGCTTTTAGCAGCCCTTAAATAACGCAATTACTGCGGGTAACGGGGCCGCTCTCCCAGGTTCCCGGGCGGATTGCAGTTCTGCTGCTGATCTTTTCAGAAATCAATTAGGCTTTTCCTCCCCCAAGCCCCCCTTTGGAAGCAGCAGGTAAATATAATAAAGCCTTAAAAAATAGCGTCKCCTGGAAAGCGCGGCATAAATAACTGGAGGGGGTTCCACTCGTCTGGGAAATGGCGGGATATCGCAGGGCAGCAGCGCTGATACCCAGCTCTCCGCGATCAAATTCCGTCCCAATTACAAAAATTACCTTTGGACAAATCCGTATCTATGTGGGGGAAAAGGGRGCATTGAGGGGTGGAAGGGCGGAGAGGGGAAGAGAGACACATAAACCATAAAATCTGCCCTATAGGACACGTCGCTCCCCTTCTCGGGAACCCTTTTTACTTGTTGAACCAGGACCGAATTAGTCTTAATATCACAGGAGAGTAGAAAATCAATAGGAGCTGGCGGTGGGTGCCTGTTACTCACTTACGGCGSCCTAATCTGAGCTGAAAGCGACCGGAGAGCGAGCGCTAAAGAGAAATTCCAGGAGTCGGAGCGGGTCTGGCGGGCTTAGGACGCGGGGATCACGAGGGGAAAGCGGGAAGAGGCATCAGATAGAGAGGGGGAAAGGAAGGGAAGCGGCGGCGGCTCCCAAGGTCCTCGGGAAGGTCACGGCTGCTCCAGAGGCTGCGGGTGCTGAAGAGACCAGAGGTCGCAGCCTCTGCTCACGCGGGGTCCTCCTCGCTATTAGAAGCAAAATAATCTATATTATAAGAAATATATATATATATATATGCAAATGCATGTTTCTTTTTTTTTTCTTTCTTCCTTTTTTCTTTTTTTTTTTTTAGTATTTTTTTTCCCAACCAATAGGACTTCTCTGTGCAAGCAATTTCATGCTGCTGGGGTGGGAATAAATGCAAATGATTTTTCTGCCTCTTCGTCTTTTTTTTTTTTTCTTACTCTTTCCTTGGAAGTGAACGTTTTCACAGTTCTTACGTTAGTCCTGATGAACACGACCACAACCTTCTCTCCCTCTCTCTCTTTTTATTATAATATAATTCTATTATAATACAATTTTTATTCTTCTGAGCTATTTTTAGTGAGACATTTATGAAAAAGGCCTCATCAGTATTTTTATGAAATATTCAGGTTCATCCAACAGAAAGCAGAACATTCCGGTTTTGCACAGTTTCCTAACTTAACAAAAATAGGAAACCCTGCAAAGCTTTTATTTTCATGATCTGTTTTATTAACATATGATTCTTTTTCCTTTGTACTCGATAAAGATTGTACTTATTACAAAACAAGCTCCTCAACTTTTCAATACATACATCAGTCATCATCGTATAATACAAATGTGCTGTCTCTTGTAACATTTCGGTAGTTTGGGGGCAGATGAAAAAAAAACCAACATTTTAAATTAATTTTATTTGCTCATTCCTGTCTCTCCCCAAAAAATTATATCCGGTAATACTTTTCTATAAAATAATATTTTTACAAATGTATTTATTAAAAATTCTGATGACATTTCAAGTTAGGAACAACAGAAACAAGTCAAATTGTGGTGGAGAAAACCTATGCTTTTAAAAATAACTTTAGTGCTTATTTTTTAACATCAACAGTTGCTTAAAATCACAGCTTTTTGAATGTATTATCCTTTTCTGAACATYACATGTCTTGATTCACAGATTCACCGGCGAAATAAAAAAAAAAAAGAGTTGCCTAAAATAAGTCTACAGAAGAAATAATCCCAGCGATTAAGTAACTTTTTACATTTGGCATCTGATCTAGTCACAGGTCATCAGAAATAGAAAGAGGTTTTTTGATCACTTGAAGCAGTAGGTGGCATCCTATACGTTCCTAATGAACAACCGCATTTACAACAGAAGGAGAGATCAGTTTATGGTTTTTATATTTATTAACCCAAAATAAAAATAAAGTATTTTGTTACATAATTAAGTGCAATTAGGCCAGTCAGAATAACATATAAACCTGAAACCACCCAAGCTTTTCTTTTTCTTTATACATATTTTGTAGGTGCATAATCCTTTCCAGCAAACTGAAAAGAAATACTTCAGCAGTCCTCTTTAAATTTTTACTTTGAATTATATTCTGCAGTTATAGAATAAACTCCAAGAAACACACGCAGCTAATATATAGTTAATTTTATTCAGAGCACCGATTTTCACATAAGAGCTATCTCAAAGTAATGATTTCTGGATTTAGCAGAAAAATACATCTCTCACTATTTTCTTTTTTCTTTTTTTGGTAGAATTATTCTTATCGTCTAACGGCTACAACTTGAATTTACCAGCCGTGTCTTAGAAATAGATTTTTTTTTTAATGCACCCAATAATAATAGCTATTCTGTTTTCACTTTTGTTTCATTTGTAACTATGCTGGGACTCATCTCCCTGTTGTATTTGGGCGTACAGAAATATTTCTGATAGAAAGAAAAGTAATCGAGTAAAGACACAACCCAGGAGAAAGCTCAGCAAACAGACATGGACAGGTAGATTATTCAGTGAGACATTTCAGGATCCACACGTGGTTGCAGTTTGTAATCTATTTTTTTATCTTTTTTTTTTTTCATTTGTGCATTAAAGAAAATATTTACAATTGGCTTCTTCAGGTTTTTTTTTTTCTTTTTTCCCTCTTTTAATTCTAAATACAAGAACGTGACAAGAATGTTCGTGTTTTCGGTGAAAACAGGCAGTTAAACTGTGAAATTACACCATCCACAAAAGAGTCTACCAGAAGCTAGTCTATTTAGTGCTCAGTTTCAAAATGCATAGAATGTTTGCGCTGCAAACAATGATACACAAAATAATAATAATATTAATAATAATAATAAAATAAATAGTTAAATAAATAAATAATATCGAGACTTTATCGCGGATCTCTTTATGCTTTTTTTTTTCCTTCCCCACCCTCCCAACCTCTTTTCTTTTAGGTCATGCAYCATTTGAGTCTATTGTTTGTTTTATTTTTTAAAGGAGGGCAGTTTCTGGTCAGAAATTCCTCGCTAGCTAAAAACATGGACAGTGATTCAGGAGCAGCCAGACCCAAGCATTGCCTTGTGCACAGAGCTGCTAATTTACCTAAYGAGCTCCGAGCTTTTCAAATTTATTTATCTTTATTATTATCACTTATTTCCAATCCGCGAGACACCTTGGTTCCTGTTAACGTCTCTTTTTTTCCCTTTTTTTACGGAATATCATTATCTCTTCCAACCCGGGAGACTATGATAGTGCAAACCGAACCACTCCCCCCCCACCCAGCCCCTAAAGCCGCCCTCTGCCTAACGTTTATTATTTACAATAAACGAGTCGCAACCCCAAAAGTGTCTCATTTTTTCTCTWTTTTTTTTCCCTTTCTCCCCAGCTTGCCCCCCCACGGAGACCCTCGGAAAGCGGTCCCCCCGCTCCCGCCCCGTCTCGCTGCTTCCCGCGGAGCCCGGGGCGCTGCCCCGAGCGGCGGCTCCGCCGGGTCCCCTATGGGGCCACCCGGGCATCTCCCCCCATGGCTGAGGGGGCATCGCGGCGGCCTTGGCTGGCATCTCCCTCTGACACAGGGACTTGTCTTCAGGCAAAACGGGAAGACACGGGAACAAAGGGGATGCGAAGTAACTTTTTTCCTCTTTTTTTTTTTTTTTTTTTTTTTTTTTTCCTTCATCTATCTGGGATTCCGGAGGCAGCAGCGGGGAGCAGAGCGGTGGATTCCCCAGCTCCTCCTGCCCCAGCGGGGCCGGGGGGAGAAGGGCAGGAGCTGCCCATTCCTCAGCCCGGCCCCGGCACAGACAAGACCCATCGCCAAAGCCTCATTACAAATAATAGCAATTATAACATTAATAAAACTTTCAAAAAAGAACCATGGAAAAGAAAAAAAAAAAAGGCGCGCGCACACACGCATAATAAATAAATAAATAAATAAATAAATAAATAAATAAATAAACCCCGCACCGAACCTTCGTCGTCCTCATCATCAAGCAAGGAGGGGAAAGAAAAAGTAATAATAATAATAATAATAATAATAATAATAACAATAACAATAAACTATAGGAAAGTAATGAGAGACCCCAACCGAAACAAAACGTAGCATCGTCACCGACAGTTTCACCTTCGGGTTTGGAGGTTGGGGGGTTTTTGTTTGTTTGTTTGTTTTTTGTTTCCCTTCCGAAAGTTGTGAGCTGGGGTTTCAGGGCGCGCGGCCGTGGCCGTCGCGGCGTCTCTCGCTGCGGGTCTCCGCGCTCCCGCTTTCGGTCGCTCCTTCGGCCGCGGGGGGGTGCAGGGGAAGGGCGGGCGGGCGCGGGGGGGGGGATCCCGCTGCGGGACTGACCCCCCTCCCCAGGGGCTTCTAGAGCGTTTTTGCCCTCTCTCCTCCTCCTCGTGGGTGTCCCGGAGTCTTTTCAATAATTCAGAGAGCCCCCCGCTCCCCTCTCGCCCCCCGTCGAGTCCGGGGCGATTTCGGCCCCGGCGCGGAGGCCGCGGGCGCCCGGAGGCCCCGGCCCCCCGGTATCATCATCATCAGCAGCAGCAGCAGTGGGTCCGGGCCGCCCTTTCCTTGCCCCCGCTCCCGTCTCTCCCGCATCCCCCCCCCCACCCCCAGCACACACCTAGTAGGTGGCGGAAAATTTCATCCGTTTCTGCTTCTGTCTCTGGTTGCAAAACCAAACCCGCACCACGTTCTTTTTGAGGTCCAATTTCTCGGCGATGGCGGCGATCTTCTCGGAGGAGGGCCGCGGCTGCACGGCGAAGTAGGCCTCGAGGGAGCGCTTCTCCGGCGCGGCGATGGAAGTCCGCTTGCGCTTCTTCTCGCCCCCGTTGAAGAGCTCGGGCTTGTTCATTTTTTCCCTCTGGGCGCCCTCGGCCTCCTCGAGCCAGGCCTGCAGGATGGGCTTGAGGGCGATCATGTTGTTGTGCGAGAGCGTGAGCGACTCGAAGCGGCAGATGGTGCTCTGGCTGAGCGAGCCCACGCCGGGGATCTTGAGGTTGGCGAGCGCCGAGCCCACGTCGGCCTGGGTGACCCCCAGCTTGATGCGGCGCTGCTTGAAGCGCTCCGCGAAGGCCTCGAGCTCGCGCGGGTCCGTGTCCGAGTCGCACATGGAGGCCAGGCCGGCCGCCCCCACGACGGCGGCGGCCGAGGCCACCTGGCCCGCGGCGCCGTGGTGCGCGGCCACGAGCCCCGGGTGCGGCAGCGCCGCGGGCACGTTCATCGCGGCTGGGTGCGAGAGGTGGCCCAGGCCGTGCATGTGCGAGTGCGGGTGCGCCGAGCTCGAGATGAGGCCGCCGCCGCCGCCGCCGCCCGCCCCATCGTGGCCGCCGCCGCCTCCGCCGCCGCCGCCGCCTCCTCCTCCTCCTCCTCCTCCTCCTCCGCCGCCGCCGCCGCCGCCGCCGCCGGGCATGAGCGCCAGGGAGGGCGACGTGATGTGCTCGAGCAGGTCGCCGGGCTCGAGCGGCTGGTGGTGGTGGTGGTGGTGGTGGTGGTGGTGCGCCAGGGGCACGGTGGAGGTGGAGGTGCAGGGCACGCTGTTCATGGTGTGGTACGTGGCGTCCGGCTTGAACGGGTGGCTCTTGCCCTGCGACACGGCGATGTCGACGGCGGCCAGAGCCTCGGCCCGCGCMAGCAGCGTCTCATCGAGGCTGGCGAAGAGGTTGCTCTGCAGCTGTAAGGGGGTGGGGAGCGGAGGGGGGCAAAAAACGGGGGGCGAGGGGCGCAGGCGGGACGGGGCGAGCGGGGGCAGGAGCCACGCGGGGTGGGCGCGAGCGGGGAGAAGCCGAGGGGTCGGTGCGGGCGGAATGAGGGTGCAAAGGGGGCACCCATGAGAAGGCCGGAGGGAGGGTGTGACAGGGGGGCGAGGGGAGATACAGAGGGGCCGGAAAAGCGGGGRAGGCGGCAAGGAGAGGGAGCAGAGGAGGGAAGGGAGAAGGGAGCAGCGGAAAGGGCAAGGGGCCGCGGGAGAGAATCCGGAAAGGGGAGGACGGGGGCGCGAGGAGGACAAATAAATTGAAAGAAATAATAATAAAAATAAAAAGAGGACGGAAAGAAGAGAAAGGAAGAGAAGGAGGAGAATAAATGGATCTGTAACTCTCAGCTGGGGAATTGTATCAAACACCAGAGCACATAAAGCGCCTTCCTGCTCAGAGGCCGAGTCATAAAAATTAATACAGAAAGTGGATGAAGCCGGCGACTCGTGTGAACACCGCTTTCAAAAAAGATCACAGGCGCTCAGATGATTGCAGGGGAAGACATGAAAAAAACATTAAGCGCCGCTTGTCAAAATGTGCCTCGCAGCGGTTTTTTATTAATGCACATACACATACATGCAGCATACGGGAAGGAGAGGAGAGAAAAAAAGAAGAGGGAAAGAAAGAGAGCGGGAGAGAAAGAAAGAAAGAAGGAAGGAAGGAAGGAGAAGAGCGGGCTGCGGCCGCCCGTCCCTTACCGGGGGGGTCGGTAGACACGCTCTCCTGATCGCCTCCGAGCTGGAGTGCAGCGAGGGGTACTTGTGCTCGGGCAGCGTGGGGTGCATGGCAAAATGCGGCTGCTTGCTGTTCATGGACATCATCTTGCGGGCTTGGCATGTAAATCCACAAACGCTCCTCAAGTGGCGGCGGCAAAAAGTGCTCTCCGGGCGCTCGCCTTCCTCCTCTTCCTCCTGCTGCTGCTGCGCTGCGCGGGGGCGGCCGGCGGAGCCTCTGCGGCCGCGGAGGCCTCCGCTCCGCTGCGCTGCGCTGCGCGGCCCGCGCGGCTCCCC